AATTACTCATGAATAGATAAGGAAAATTCTATTCACACCACATATTTTGCTATTTGCACCACCTCAATTAATGTGGTCAAAGAGTAATATATATTATTCATTTTTTTTAACAATTTCAACATATTAACTAAAAAAAAAAAAAAAAAAAAAAAAAAAAAAAAAAAAAAAACAATCCATCACCTTCTCCGGTGAGAAGGCAGCCCAGTGGGTTGGCTGCCTTCTCCCCGAGTCGAAAATTCGCATGCAACCTCGAGATTTAGGTTCACTTGATCACCTAGTATTATATATGACTATACCTTTTTTGCCTGGTTTGGTTCTAAATTTTTAATAATAATAATAATAATAATAATAATAATAATAATAATAATAATAATAATAATAATAATAATAATAATAATAATAATAATAATAATAATAATAATAATCATCATAATATATTATTATTATTATTATTATTATTATTATTAATGTTGTAAATTGTTTGTAATAGTACAGATAATTTTGTTTCTTTTTGAATGTAAACTAGATTTCTTCATCTAGTTTTTTAAAGAGAATAGTAATTAATTATAATCATAAATAGTGGGCAAGATATTATAAAATGTTAAGTAGAGTATTAAGGCGTGAATGATTACATGCATGTATACCAACAAATTTAAAAAAAAAAAAAACAAAAAAACAAAAAAACAAAAAAAAAAAAAAACAAAAACAAAAACAGAAATTAAATATACGTACTAATTAAAGCACAATATATACAAACATGTTGTTGCTTACGTGCTTACAAGTTAGTAATAATAATAATAATAATAATAATAATAATAATAATAATAATAATAATAATAATAATAATAATAATAATAATAATAATAATAATAATAATAATAATAATAATAATAATAATAATAATAATAATAACAATAACAATATAGTCCAATGATGCTATTAGTCAACATGCATATATATATAAATCAATATGGAGCTCTGATCTGCGTATGAATTTTGTTTTACTGTTTCTGTAGACAATTCGCATGCAACATCGAGATTTAGGTTCACTTGATCATCATCTTTAGTTCTATTGTCATCATAAAGTTCGATTACATTTTTGTCCTAAACAAACAAACAAATAACAACTCTTAATATATAAATACAAAATAATATATTCGATATTGATATATTAAAGCAATAAATTTCTAATCAAAAATAAATATACGTACTTAAATTTCTAAATAATATATAAAAGCAATGAATATATAAATAATATGTAAGTTCAATTCAATTTACTTAAGTTCACACACACACACACACACACACACACACACACACACACACACACACACATATATATATATATATATATATATATATATATATATATATATATATATATATATATGAAAGCAATGAACATATATGAAAGCAATAAACTTAAACTTAAATGTCTTAATAATATATAAAAGCAATGAACAAATATACATAAGTTCAATTGTAACATTTCAGTAACAATTCAAATAAAAAAAATTAAAATACCTCATAATGTTGTTGATTTTGATTTTGATCATTGTAACTAAGAAATTGGCTTTGATTTTGATCGTTGTAGCTAAAAAATCTTCTATCCAACCGTCCATAGCTTATAGATTGTATGAGACATATATATCACACACACACACTACATATATATAGAGTCATTTGATTCCAATTTGTATTCCCTGCCGTCCAAATACCAGTAATTTCATCTCACAAATATCAATATTAACTAAAAAAAATATGAATTGAAATTATAAATTTAAAAAAATATGTATTGAAATTAGAAAGTTAAAAAATCTATGTATTGAAATCAAAAATTTAAAATTAATATATATTGAAAAAAAAAAGAAGAAGAAGAATTGTAACGGTAGAGAAGGCAAGGAGGCGGGAAAAAAAAAAAGAAAAAAAAAAAAAGAAAAGGAGATCACGCGACGTCACCTTCTCCGGTGAGAAGGCGAGGAACTGTCTGCTTCTACCTGGGTTGTCTTCTCCGGTGAGAAGGCATGTCCAACGCCTTCTCATCGGAGAAGGCGATGGTTTCCTTCTTTTTTTTTTCTTTTTTTTTTTTTAATGAATTAAATTTTAAATTAATTAATTATTAGTTTAATCTAATAAATGCAGTTTGACTAGGTGGTGCAAATAGCATTTTGACCACCCATTAGGCTATATGCACCACCTATCTATTTATTATAAAATACCACTTTTTTATACTTTCAATATACTTTATACCCTATTTTGATTAAAGGATGGTGCAAATAACAACACCCATAGATAAATCTACTATAAATTAATAATGAATCTACATATTAATTAAATATTTTAAAAACAATATCTAACAAAATAATAACACATCACTCTAATGAAAACATAAACTAAAAATAGTGCAAGTAGTTTTAAATTTTAACAAAATTTGTCAATTAAGTTCTGTTGGTCCCAAAAGATATAGGGTAAAAGTCTAGAGGGGGAGGATGAATAGACTTTTAAACTTTTTAGCACAACACAACAATTGCTAAGGCAACAGAGAAATCAAGACTCTTAACTAGATTGTTAGAGTCTGGTGCACAACGAAAATAATAAATGATATGGTGTGTGTGTATTTGTGTCAAGTTTATCCTCGTGAGAAGCAAGCAAGAGCAGTAAGTAAAGAAAACGGTAAAGAACACAAGGCAATTTACAGTGATTCGGATGTGGTGTAATCCTCCTACTCCACTTGCTCTTATCTCCAAGAGCAATTCACTATATCCACCACTACTTGGTTCCTAGATACAATGAATTCCGTGATCTAGTGCTTTGATCACCAAGCCCGCACTAATCACGCCCAGTGCCACCAACACTGCTGCTTCGGGTTTCACGTCGCCACGCTACTTTCCCAGGATTTCACGACTCCGCATTACTTTCCCCCCGTCTTCTACACTCCGGTAGAAACGCTCCTTCCGTGATCTAGTGCTTTGATCACAAAGCCCGCACTAATCATGCCCAATGTCTCCGGCACTGCTGCTTCGGATGTCACAACTCCGTGTGACAATCTAGGATTTCACAACTCCGTGCTACTTTCCCACTTTCTCTTGTTTTGCTCCAAAACAAGTTTGCATTGCTTCCAACTTCGAGACTATCTTCAATGATGCGCTTAGTCTCTTGTAGTTGATGAAGATTCTAACACTCTTGGATATTTCTTTTGTAAGCACTGTATCACTCTGAGTGTTTATCTCACTAATAATATATCAATTTAAGCTCTTGAGATGGAAAGCTCTTTTGATTTTCGTATGCTCTGTTTAGCTCTGTTCTTTTTGCTTCTTGCCTCTACATCTTTTTATAGTTATAGCTCGTAATGAGAATCTGTCCGTTGGAAAGAAACATTCTGGGGTAGATCACGCCTCTTGGGATTTCTATCTTCAAAATATAATCTCCAATTTAATCCCTTACTAGTATTTTTGCTTCTGCAACTTCTTCTTGATTTAAACTTGGCTTCTTTAAAAGAAGCGTGAGATTCAAACTTGTGACATTGTGTATAATATTTCAAGCTTCTACCAACTCATCCATACAACCTTTTAGTTATCATCTCGTTTCACTTGGTGTACTCTTTTCTTTCTATAGATGCTTGATCTTCAAGATAGCTTCATGCAAACTTCAAGTCACGTTCTTTCTTCTTCGGGATTTGTTGAGGGATTTCTTCATTGATTTTTTGAGAGATTTCTTCTTAGGATGAAAGTCTTCATATCTTGTGTACACATTTTCATATGCATACATCTTTCTTTTCTATTTGCCATTTTCATTAGGCAAATTCTTGATTTTAGGCTTTATATCTTCTTCATCCATTTTTCTCAACTAATGTATTTATTTTTCTATTTTTTGGTCTATGACTCGACTAGTCTAACCAAAATAAAATTGGGATTCTACGATTTACAATTTGGCATATTAAAATCTATTACAATTTATTCCTAACAAATTTCAAATTTAACATGATGATTTTTTTTTTTTTTTGGTTAGACATAATGATTCATTTAAATATAGTGAGTTCAGAATTAAATCAATTAATATTAAAAAGTGTTGACAGAACAATACGCAGTGTTATTACATGAAAATTTTTCATGATTGAAATTTATTTAAAGACTTAATAATTTTGAAGTTCAGATATCCAATTGTGGCATTTATTTTCCGGCCAAAGAATTAATAGTTAATCAAAATCATTAAAAGAATCATTTATTGCTAATTCCAAGGTTTATAAAAATCAAAATATACACACAGACAGACACAAAAAGCTGTCTTGAGCCAGTCAATGGACGCGTTTGGCGACAAGAAATGGCCATAAGTCCTTAACGTTGGGGAAATGACAAAAAAGGGTCCTGTTTTTTTTTTTTTTTTTCTTAATTTTGATTTCAGTTTTACTGGACTAGTTCTCCTAAGAGATTGAATCTCCAATTCCAAGGGTCTTTATATCTTGACGCGATAGAGTATTTTAAGAGGATGTAAATCATGATTACTCAATGGCTCAACAAACAGGGCCAAATGTTGGTGTGCATAAGAGACCTATCCACTTTGGACATAATCCCCACACTGTCACCGTCGATATTTGAACAATGGTCTCTTTTATTGAGCTAAGCCAGTGCGAGCTTCGCTGAACTAATCCTAAGTTCACAGGACCCCACCTCTAGAACTTTTGTGGAGGTAAACAGCGAGTCGCTCAATCACTTTGTCAATCAGATTCTAGTCTTCATACGTCCACAAGGAATCAATCCTAACATTCCATCATCCTTAAACTTTTTTTCATATATATTTTTAGTGAAATTTGGACCTCACACTACGACCTCTAATTATGACTTTTAAACCAGATGACAAACCAACTACGTTAAACCTGGGCAGGTCTAAGTTTTTTTATACGGAGAACCCAATCAAAGCATGGGTAATATCGTCAATGAGTAAAGGGATATTCTGCCAGTTTGAAAATTCAGGAAAATGCATATTTATAGGCTGGAGAAGTGGGGTAGAAGACAAGAGAAACGGCTTTCTTGTTAATTTTTCTCATTCAGAAACTGCCACCCATTCACCAGGGAGGCTCCAATCATCTATATTCCAGGCGTTCCTCTTGTTCATCATTCAACCACTTTCCCCCAATTCCTTTGTTTCTTCTTAACCTTTCCACATTTTGGGCAAATTTGTCCTTCTTGGGGACTGGGTTATCTCCAGTTTAGCTAATTAGTTTGTGGGTTTGATTGCAATTGCAAGTGTGGGTTGATTGATTCGGGTTTGATCTGTTAATCGGTAGGGAGCGGAAAAGTTTTTGGTTATAGAGGGAGGAGAAGGGGGCTATGAGCATCCCTAGATTTTGGGAAAAAGTTTACACGAAGATGGTTGAAGGGGGATCTCGTTATTGTTCCAAGAAGAAGGATGATATCTGCTGCGGGGTAAGGCTTGATATTTATTTAATTTCTCTTTGTTTCACAATTGTCGCTGTATTAGATGTTTGTGAAGTTTCAACCTTTTCTTATTATTCTGTTCTTTACTTTTAAGGGTATATGGGTTTTGATCAGATTTTGGATTTGTTTTTCTGAATATCGTGTTGTGGTATCTTATTTAAACATTAAATATTGAAAATTGAAACAAATCATGTGATGTTTTTGTTCGAGCTTTTGAATTTCTCTGGGAATTGTTTAACTAATTTTGCTTGCAGACAGAGGGTTAGTATTGCATCATAGGGGGTTCATTGAATGGTGCTGTTTTGGATTATGCCTTTAATGATATGTGGCCTTTCCCCTTTGTCGAGCCTATAATATATAAACATAAATGTCCAATCCGACTATTCGCTTAGCATAGCATTTTAGTTGAGATGGCATGCTTGAATTTGATGTCAAAGGTCATTGCTCGGGGCTCATCAAACAGTAACCGGCTAGGGGGTGTGTTGAGTATATAAAATATATTATATATAAACATAAATGTGTCATCCAACTATGACTTTTAGTTAAGATGGAGCACATGATATGAATAATTTTTTCGAGTTGGCAAATAAGAAGTGCATAATTTTGGAGTCCTATGTTGTTTCCATTGAAATTCTTCATTCCATCTCATGCATAGATTGATGTATCAAAATTGTGCATTATGTGCCTTTTCATATTGGGTTTGGATTGTCTATTAATCTCTGCTTTGTTCCTATTTGAAATTTGGAACGGCCTTTCTTATGTAGTCACTATATGGTTTTGTTGAATGCTGGTGGTCATTCCGTGTTAAGATCTAACAGTTGTCACTATCTGCAGGAATCGGGTCGTGGATTAAGCGTGTCAAGATTAAAATGTTTTCTGCGAGGCCTGGACTTGAAAGTTTTAATCTTCCTTTTTGTGCTGGTACCTACTTGTGTCTTTGGAATCTATGTTCATGGGCAGAAAATCACCTACTTTCTGCGGCCTTTATGGGAGAAACCGCCTAAGCCCTTCAACGAAATCATTCACTATTACGATGAGAATGTGTCGATGGAGAAGCTCTGTAAACTTCACGGTTGGGGAGTTCGAGAGTTCCCAAGACGTGTGTATGATGCAGTATTGTTCAGTAACGAGGTGGACATGCTTAACCTAAGATGGAAGGAGTTGTACCCTTATGTGACAGAGTTTGTTTTGCTCGAATCAAATTCAACATTCACGGGACTGCCAAAGCCCTTGTATTTTTCTAGGAACAGGAAGAATTTCACATTTGTTGAGCCACGGCTAACTTATGGCCAAGTTCCGGGGAGATTTAAGAGGGGAGAGAATCCTTTCGTTGAGGAGGCTTACCAGCGATTGGCGTTGGACTATCTTCTCAAGCAAGCCGGTATTCAGGATGATGACTTGTTGATTATGTCCGATGTTGATGAAATACCCAGTCGACACACTATAAACCTCTTGAGGTGGTGTGATGATATACCTTCGGTCTTGCATCTTCGACTGAAAAACTATCTTTATTCATTCGAGTTCTTTGTTGATAACAATAGTTGGAGAGCTTCAGTCCATAGATACCAATCTGGGAAGACAAGGTACGCTCATTATAGACAATCGGATGACATTTTGGTCGATGCAGGGTGGCATTGTAGCTTCTGCTTCCGTCGAATTAGCGAGTTCATCTTCAAGATGAAAGCATATAGCCATTGTGACCGAGTAAGATTTTCTCATTTTCTGAACCCGAAAAGGGTCCAGAAAGTTATTTGTCAGGGGGATGATTTATTCGATATGCTACCAGAGGAGTACACATTCAAGGAAATCATCGGGAAGATGGGACCGATTCCCCACTCCTATTCTGCTGTTCATCTTCCATCCCAACTTTTGCAGGATCCTAACAGGTACAAATTTCTCTTGCCCGGGAACTGCTTGAGAGAAAGAGGATGATGATGAATGCGAGAGTGATGAAAGTACTTTTCCTTGAAAAAATTCTAGTGGCCAGCAGAGATGGCTCCACTCCACGATGTATCTAACTCCTCTGCTCTAGGATAGTGTGGAATGTATGGATGAATTCTTTGAGTTGTGAACGAACGAAAGAGTTGTATATAACATTGATGATGGATAGAGCATGTTCGTCGAATTAGTATATGAAACTTGTTATGTCTGCATAGAATTAGACATGTATAACCTCCTCTCCTGCTGCTTTTTCTATACAAGTTTTTGTCATTTTTGTTCCTTAATGTTGAGATGATTTTGATGGTCTTCCCTTCCAAGTTTTTTAACCTCTCATTAATGTTGCTATTTCAACTTGAGAGTTGCCTGTGCATTTAGGTTTAGACTCTAAAAATGAAAGCCCCTTAACCCCCCCCCCCCCCCCCCCCTGCCCTGGGGATTGTGACTTGTGAGTGGAGGTAAAGAATAAGGTAGGCTATTATTATTATTTTAAACTGAAATCCTCTCTTATTGAGCATTTGAATTTGGGAAATTGTCTACACTTACTTTTGACCATTAAGCTATGCCTTGGGTGCTTTATGTATTCATTTGGTTGTAAGGATGAACGTAATTGATTCAGGATCGGTTGAATTCAGAAACAGTTACAACCAATAAGAGTCCTATAGGAGAGACTCACATAATAGTCTCCTATAGAATAGCTAAGCTAAGTCAACTAAACTCTAGCCACTAATTTATTGACTATACAATATAACATATATTACTAACACACCCCCTCAAGCATAAGGTTGGAGAGGGACAACATTGAGCTTGTCACGTAGAGCCTGAAAACGCGGAGCAGGTAGCGGCTTTGTGAATATGTCTGCAAGCTGATCCTTCGTGGAGACGAAATTGACAACAAAGTCCCCAGACGCCACCTTGTCCCGGACAAAGTGGTAGTCAATTCCACGTGTTTCGTCCTAGCATGGAACACCGGATTTGCCGCTAAGTATGTGGCGCCTAAGTTGTCACACCACAGAGTGGCTGGCCCACCAGAGTACAACCCCAGCTCTCGGAGTAAAGAAATTACCCATGTTACCTCAGCAGATACATCTGCCAGGCCCTTGTACTCAGCTTCGGTCGAAGACCTGGCCACCGTGCGCTGTTTGTGAGAGATCCACGAGACAAGGTTAGTCCCGATGTAAACAGCATAGCCACTGGTTGACTTCCTGTCGATCGGACACCCAGCCCAGTCTGAGTCCGAGTATGCATGTAAGCCGAAGGCAGGAGACGAGGTCAACCGCAGCCCATAGTCCTGAGTGCCTTTGACATAGCGTAGGACTCGCTTCAGCAGACCCCAGTGCTCATCGGTGGGTGTATGCATGAACTGGCACAAACGGTTCACAGCATAGGAGAGATCCGGTCGTGTGATGGTAAGATACTGAAGGGCCTCCACTATCCTGCGGTACTGAGTGGGATTATCAAAGGGTTGCGTCGACGGAACGACTGACTGTGTGACTGCAGCCGGAGTTGCAAGCGGCTTGCAGTCAGTCATACTTGCACGAGACAAAATGTCGCCCATATAGCGACGCTGAGATAAGAGAATGCCAGCCCCAACCTTCAGAGTCTCAATCCCGAGAAAGAAACTTGGAGTTCCCAGGTCCCGTATTTTGAAGGTGGTGGACAAGCGGTGTAACAAAGTATCTATAAGAGCTGAGTCGTTGCCCATCATGATGATGTCGTCAACGTAGACCAGCAAAAACACCCGTGATTCACCAGAGGTGTAATGAAAGAGAGAAACATCTGTCTTGGACGCCACGAAGCCTACCGTAAGAAGATACTCATGCAACCGCTTAAACCATGCTCGAGGTGCTTGCTTGAGCCCATAAAGGGACCGTTGCAAATGACACACATGATCTGGGTGAGTGGGATCTTCGTAGCCAGGTGGCTGTTTCATGTAGACCATCTCAGAGAGATGTCCATTTAGGAAGGCGTTGTGGACATCCAGTTGCCGTAATGTCCAGTTATTCGACACTGCAAAAGAGAACAAAATACGCACCGTAGTCGGTTTGACTACGGGACTAAAGGTGTCAAAGAAATCCTCTCCGGCTACCTGGTTAAACCCTTTGGCCACCAAACGCGCTTTGTAGCGCTCGACAGACCCGTCGGCTTTGCGTTTGGTGCGGTAGACCCACTTACACCCTATAATGTTCATGTGAGGCTCAGGAGGAATGAGCCGCCAGGTGTTGTTGTGCAGCAGGGCATTGAACTCCTGATCCATGGCATCACGCCATTGTGGATGCCCAACCGCCTGGGAGTAGCAGGTAGGATCAATAGTTGTATGCAGGGCATAAAACTCCTCACCCGTACCCTGAGTTTTGCGCCGAGTGCGTATGTCATGCCCCTGTAGTATAGGGCGAGCCCGGACCCCTCTGGTGCGGCGGGTAGTAGCACGCCGCATGGGTGCAGCACTCTGTATGGCTAAAGGCGGTGGCTCCTGAGCTAGAGGTAGATCCGGGGCCACAGGTACAGTTGGGGTTTGAACCACAATGGGCCCGGACCCCCACGGTGCGGTAGATTCCACTTGTTTGGTGTTAATCTGCAAAGGCAAGTGTGTAGAGAAGGGGAAGACTGCCTCATCAAACCGAACATGGCGGCAGATAAAGATCTTCCCCGTTGTTAGGTCCATGCAACGATAACCCCTAAAAGAAACCGGGTAACCTAAGAACACACACGGTGCTGACCGGAATTCTACCTTATGCCGATTGTAGGGCCTAAGATAGGGATAGCACCGACATCCAAAGACTCGGAGAAATGTGTATGTGGGTAGTGTTTGGTGTATACGAAAATGTGGGCTTTCGAAGTTTATTGCAGACGACGGGAGATAGTTGATGAGGTGAGTAGCAGTTTCGAAAGCATAGTCCCAATATTTGAACGGGACCGAACTTTCAGCTAGTAGAGCTAAACCGGTTTCGACAATATGTCTATTCCGGCGCTCAACTCGGCCGTTCTGTTCGTGCGTATAGGCACATGATTGCCTGTGCACAATGCCCAAGGAATTAAAAGTTTTATGAAGACGCCTATACTCACCCCCTAAGTCGGACTGGATGGCTTTAATAGAACGCGAAAACCGACGTTCTACCATCACCCGAAACAAGTCAAACACTTTATATATGTCTGATTTTAACCGTAAGGGGTAAAACCAGTAGAAACGCGAAAAGTCGTCTACAAACAATACAAAGTAACGAAAACCTGAAGCAGAAATAATTGGAGATGGTCCCCAAATATCTGTGTACAATAAATCTAACACATGTCTACTTGAATTCGGAACCCTATCTAATGGGAAACGCGCCGACTTGCCAAGTTGACATGCGGAACACAGCTTCGACGAACTTGAATTATTTGACGTGACCGGACAGTTTTTGAGGACGCGGTGTAAGACTTGACTATGCGGATGACCCAGTCGCTGATGCCACACCTGGGACGTTGCCCGGGCACTTATGAACGCAAAATGAGCCCACGGGACAATTATTTTGTATAAGCCACCCGAGGTCGGCCCTTTAAGCAGAACTGCCTTGGTGGTGCAATCCTTCACAAAAAAGAAATCCTTGTGAAACTCAAAATAAACATCATTATCGTTAGCGAAACGTTGAACAGACAAAAGGGGTAACGACAAATTTGGTACATGTAAGACTTGAGACAAGTTTAAAGATTTTGACACGGAAGGTATCGTTGCATGTCCTACACGATTAACAACCAAACCTGCGCCATTTCCCACTTTGAGCACGTCATTGCCGGTATAGACATCGAACTGAGACATCATCTGTTCATCAGGCGTGGCATGTGACGTTGCACCAGTGTCAGCATACCACGCATCCACCGACGCTCCCGATGGTGACTCACCAGAAACAGCAACGTGAACCTGGGGCTGCGGATGATCACTGTAGCGTTTGTAACAATTCAACGCAGTGTGACCTTGGACTCTGCAGATCTGGCAACGTGGAGTACCACGCCCACGACCGGGATTGCCTCTGCCACGGCCTTGCCGTCCACAGCCCTGTCCTCCACCACCAGAATGACGGCCGCCGTTGGACTGCCGGCCTCGGCCAGCATACAGCGCCGTGGGGGAGGAAGCCGCAGCCAGTCCATCACCTGCCGGAAAATCGTCGGAGTGAATGAACTCTTGCGCCTGCAACAGGTCAGCGAGCTGTGGAAGGGTGATCGGTGCGCCAGACGCGGTGAGAGCCGCCGCGAGAGGGCGGTACTCCGGCCGGAGCCCCCGCAACACGTACAGTACCTGTTCGTCAAGGGAAAGCGGCCTGCCAGCGAGTGCCAAATCCTCTACTATCAACTGGGCACGGCCCAAGTATTCTGCCGGAGTATTGTTCCCCTGCCGGAGGTTTTGGAATTGCCCGAGCAGATTAAGGCACCGCGCACGTGTAGAGGACCCCAGCGCCGTGGTAATGGACAGCCACACTTCTCGCGCAGTTTGCCGGCCGACCGCGAGGTACATCACCTCGTCGGAAAGAGACGAGATGAGAAGGGAAAGGATCGATTGATCCTGTTGTACCCACGCGGCGTAGGCGGGATTCGGGGTTGCGGTGCTGGTTGTCGCGCCGGAGGCAGCATCGCCGGAGGGAGTCGACGTCTGAACTGTGGCCGGTGGGCATGTGGATTCGCCATCAATGAAGCCCAACAAACCATGCCCTCGGAGAAAGGGCACTAACTGTGTCCGCCAAAACAAAAAATTCCTCGTCGTTAGCTTGATGGAGACGAAGTGGTGGGCAGCAGTCAGCGTATTCGTGGTGGCCGAAGCTGGCGTTGCGGCGACACTCACGGTTCTTTCAGAGGAGTTTGTAGACATCGTTTGGGAAGGGAGGATATTTTGGATGAGAGAGAAAATGAAGGCTTAACTGATACCAGATGAACGTAATTGATTCAGGATCGGTTGAATTCAGAAACAGTTACAACCAATAAGAGTCCTATAGGAGAGACTCACATAATAGTCTCCTATAGAATAGCTAAGCTAAGTCAACTAAACTCTAGCACTAATTTATTGACTATACAATATAACATATATTACTAACAGTAAGAGCATCTCCAACCGAGCCGCATTTCGGCAAAAATTTATCCCATCTCACCATTTTTCAACTTTTTCGATCTCCAATGTGGAACTCCAAATCCGCATTACGCCAATTCTTTTGGCGTTGATGAACAGTGCAACGCCAAATGTATAATAGGGAGTAAAATGACTCTTTTGTCCTTGTTTCTTTCTATAATTTGTTTTATATGTAATTTTATATTTTGTTAAATACTTATATTTAAACTTTGTATTATTAAA